GGAGAAGGTGAAGGCAAGAGCGGACATACAATACACCAAAGATGGAGTCACTGCTCTGTTGGACTTGATTGAGGGTCGAAGGTACCTACGACTGATCTTTTTACGAAAAGTCACAATTGGTGATGTGATCATGGATATCTTATCTGAATATTTACAATATTACAGTTGCTTGCCTCACTCTTTGAAAGGTTAAAGTTGGCATATTTTCGTTAGTATCATTTCACCAAAATACGTTTAGTTTGGACACAATGTTTAGTTACAGGAAATTAGTATTGCTAGGGATAAATGGTATCATGATCGTATACTTCAGCCTGGCGGCCTTATCTGATGACATCAAAGACACGCAGGAGGATGTACAGGAACTCGACGCCAAGATCTCGGTTACTCAGAAAAATGTCAAGGTCGTCACAAAGGAGGTCGGCAGGCAGAAGAAGGAAATAAAAACAGTGAAGAAGGACGTGAAAACTCAGGGAAAGAAGATTGGTGCTCTGGAGGAGACGGTGGACGAAACTGTAGCTAAGGTGGAAGAAATAGATGGCAAGGTGAGGGCTTGTAACAACACCCTATCTGTGAGCGATCTTCGGCAGAGGTATGCAATCTCATGTTATTGTTGACTATGAATACAGGTGAAACAATTGATGAAAACATTCCAATGCTTGTTTGGTATTCTGCTAATAAAGTTTGTTTGACATTCTCCAGACTCTGAGCCATGCTCCCTTCTGGTCCCGAGATGTCTCCAAGCTTCTCAACCCTAAGGGGGACCACGACTGGAGGTTGCTGTCAACTCGCCTAGGTTACAACAACGTTGACATCCGAGGCTGGGCCCAGCAACATGACCCCTGTATGGCCCTGCTGAACGAGTGGTATGCAACCCGTAAAACCAGCGAGGCCTCGTATGCTGTGTTGACGGCTCTACAAGAGATGAACCGGATGGATGCAGCCTCCATTGTGGAGAATGCCATGAAGATGGCAGGTAACCTGCAACTAGTCAGTCAATGGCCACACGAAAGTTCCCTTTACAGTCTGTAAGATGTTTGCAGATAGAATAAATTACTGAAATTCCCTGTCCTGAAGTTAAAATGTTAAACAAAAATATTGATTACGAACAATTACTACGTATTGCATAGACCTGAGTGTGCACTCTTGCTCTCCACAGAGACGGTAGTCGAGGATGAGCCGTTCGAGTATGCCTCCCCTCCAGCCGTCTTCATCAGCTACCAGTGGGGAATCCAGAACGAGGTGAAACTGCTGAAGCGCCACCTGGAGATGGCGGGCTACGAATGCTGGATGGACATTGGTCAGATGGGAGGAGGAGACAAGCTGTTTGAGAAGATTGACCAGGGAATCCGGGGCTCCAAAGTGATTATCAGCTGTGTGACGGAGAAATATGCCAAGTCGCCCAACTGTAACAGAGAGGTGGGTTGATTAAATGAGGACCACACACGAATTATTTAAACAAGCCGACGTTTTGTGGTATTGCTCTAGTATGATGCAGAAAGCACAGAATATACACACGTTTCTAAATTTCGCTTCAGGTGAATCTGTCGGTGAGCATGGGACGCCCCATCATCCCCCCTCCTGATGGAGAAACAGACATGGCCCCCAGCTGGTTCCATGGGCCCAATCTTCAGCGAGTACCTGTTCATCCGCTTCTTCACTCGCCCAGGAGAGGAGACGGGGGATGACAGATACTGGTCAGGAGCCAAGTTCCAGGAGCTTCTGATGCAGCTCAACTACAACGGCATCGTGCCAGACGAGGCTAAGGTTATGAAAGGTACACAAAAAGTTAACCGTGCGGAGTTGCGTCCCCTGAACGTAATAGATCATCGGTTTGGCGTGGGCCCAAATCCCACGGCTGCACTAATGAACCATACATTAGTAGTGGGAGCATTCTATACTTTCCGACGTGTTTTCTATTCCAACATGAACATTAGCAATTTGAACATATCATCTGGAGTGATTTCCTAATTGAAGCGGGAGTTGTATTTACAGTTATAAAGTCGTCAGACGGGGTCAACTGAATGTCCTGAAGAAGCCCGGTGACAATGATGCCGAGTCTATCCTCTGAAATCAATGGGTTTATGACATCGAAGTGTCGATGCAGAATATATACTGAGTCAAAAAAGAAACTTCACAAAATGTAATTTGAAAAATAATGAATAATTATTCTCTGATGATACATCTATGTATCCGAAATGGGATCCCTATCTTTCGACTCTAGAAAAACGTTTGCAAAACCCACTCAAACCCATCCACTTGTCGTGCAAATGACGTTAGTGCCAAATCAGGTTTTGCACGTGCAGTCGATCACGTGATTTTCTCATCGAAGTTTTCATCATATGCACGTGTTTGCATTGGCCTCAAGAATTGAAAAAAACACTTTTAAACCACAGTTCTAACGGTACTTGAAATGCCACGATTGTCAAATGTGCAACGTGAACGTGTCGTTGGCATGTTGCAAGCGGGAAGATCAGTTATTGACGTCGCAAGAGCAATGGGATGCAGTCGTCGTACTGTGTATGACTTGCTAGGTCGTCTACAACAAACTGGCACCACTTCTGATCGCCCAAGGTCGGGTCGTCCACGTGTGACGTCACGAGCAGAAGACCGTCAGATCGCCTTACGTCACCTACGTGACAGATTTCTGCCGGCTACACGAACCAGGGCTGAGATGTTTAGAGGTCGACTGTCCTCACAGACCATTCGAAATCGGTTGCGGGCTGCCAATCTCCATTCTCGACGTCCATATCGTGGGCCAATATTGACGCCGTTTCATCAACGTCAATGTCTGCTGTGGGCCCAACGTCACCTCCGATGGACCCAGAGAGACTGGAATCGAGTCGTCTTTAGCGATGAATCCAGGTTTACCCTCAGATTCGCGGACGGCAGGCATAGAGTCTGGAGACGACGTCATGAACGGTATGCCCAATGTTGTGTACAGGAAGTCGACAGATTCGGGGGCGGAAGTTGCATGGTGTGGGGTGCTTTCTGTGGGAACAACCGTTCCCGACTTCTGGTCATCCGTGGAAACCTCACAGCTGCTTACCGCGACCAGGTGCTCACCCCTGAACTCGTTCCTTTCATGGCGGCTTATGGCCCAGGTCTACAGTTCCAGCATGGTAATGCTCGGCCGCATACCGCGATGTTGACACGAAATTTCCTTCAAAACGCTGGGATCAACGTCATGGACTGGCCATCGAGGTCCCCTGACCTTAATCCAATAGAGCACGTTTGGGATGCACTTGGGAGAAGGCTTCGTGGTCTTAGGAACCAACCTCAGAATTTGCAGGAACTTGGCGCTGCCTTGCAAGAGCAAAGGCGCAGAATCCCCAACCACGTGTTCACAAGCTTCAGGCAGTCGATGAGGAGACGGTGTTTGGCAGTGGTGAATGCGCGGGGCGGCCATACACGATATTGAACTGAGACATTTCGCATTTTTATTCTTGTGACTTGACATTCTGTATACCCATGTTTTGGAACGGCGGTGTAGCCTAATGGAACTGATTATGGCACTGTCAGTGTATCGAGTACATCACACAGATCTCAGCAATGAAATGATAACAATTTAACCATCTTACCATCTCTTGTTCTTTTATAGTGCCCTGAAGAAAGAATGTGAAGTTTCTTTTTTGACTCAGTATATTTGAAATGACTGCTTTTGCTGCAATCTTAAACTTGTGAATATCCAACCATGTACTTTGTCAATAATGTATATTAGGTAGGAAACTGTGCTTCATTCATGTACGTATATGTTTTGTTCTTTGGAATAACATAAAAGCTTGAGATCACACAAGGTAATATTTTTCTTCTTGCAGAATACAAGAAGTGGTGGGTTCCATTTGTTGAAGATATAAAGATTGACAAGAAAAAACGGGGTAACAATGGAGGCACGCCTCAACCCAAGTCTACAGAGTCAGCAGAGGTAGTAATAATGGCCATTTGATTGTAACTTGCTTTCCCTAGGATGAATATGTATTCGCCACATTCTTTAATGCGTTTTTAATTGAGTATCAGCTTACTCTTCTTGTGCCCATTTATTTCTGGTGTCCTCCGCCGTGATATTGCTGAAATATTGCTAGAAGCGGCGTAAAACTAAACTCACTTACTCACCCACCCACCCACTCACTCACTCTTCTTATTAACATCGTAGGTTGCCGCGGTGTCCCCTGACGTGTTCATCTCCTATCAGTGGGGCAAACAGAAGCAGATAATCCTCCTCTACCGACGTCTCACCAGCCTCGGCTACACCTGCTGGATGGACATTCACCAGATGGGAGGTGGGGACTCCCTCTACGACAAGATCGACCGGGGGGTGCGGGGCTGCAAGGTCATACTCAGCTGTATAACCACCAAGTATGCCCTGTCTGCCAACTGCAGGAGGGAGGTCAGTCTGGCTGATGCCCTGAAGAAGCCAATAGTTCCTCTGTTACTGGAGAAGACAACATGGCCTCCTTCCGGTCCCATGAGCATGGTGTTCACACAGCTTCTCTACATCAACTTCTCCAAGGACGAAAGTGTACAGGAGAAATGGACAGGCAAGGAGTTCGATGAAATGGTTGGCAAAATTAACAAACAAATGCCGGCTTTTTCAGAAAGGGACAGAAACACATCTTCTTCAATCAGGATGTCCTCAACTGCTGCCAATGGAACCAAGGCGATTCCTCACCAGCCCTCAAAGACGGATGAGGATGCCCACACTGTCCCTGCCCGTGCTGCTACCTCTCAGAAAAACCCTAAACCACAAACCCCTTCCTCAGGACCACAGAAGTCTAAATCTTGCACTATCATTTGATGCTAGTGTAGTTCTTTAGAATAACACTTACTCTGATTTAATTATCAGAGAACTTGTACATCTGTGATTATCATGTCTGTGATCTAGCATTATATATTTAATAAAACATCCGTTTATTTTCTTTATATTTTAAATTTTGTTTCTGATTAAATATCCTTTACAGGTTATGTTGGATCTTTAGAAAGATGAAGGGTGTGTCAAATTTGTAATGGGTTGTAAAGTAAGAGTTTAAAAAATTGTTCAGGGGAATTTACTGCATTTCATTGACTTTCCTACTAATGTTAAACATGCCCGATTTACTTAGAATAACAAATGGGTGTTACGTTACCCTCTCTCTGGGTTTGAGATCAATAACTGTGATATCACAGCAACTGAATCAAAATGAAACTGAAATTGTTATTATACGAATATGAAAGAGGGAAACCTCGGCCTTATATATTATTTATTTTATACTGATGAAGACTTTAGGTGACTTATTGAATATAACACCAACACCAAAATTCATCCGAAAACCCACGGCCAGCTTTACATCTTAAAGACGATTTAGAAAAGTAACATACATATTCGGTAATCATTGGGGGCGGTGGAGTAGCCTAGTGGTTATGCGTTCTCTCGTCACGCCAATGACCCGGGTTCGATTCCCCACATGATGCATCGTTGCACAAAATTGCTCTTTCCTCAAAATATCTCCATATTGAGACAGTAAAAAACACATACTGTCATCTACTCACCTGAATCTCTTTTTCTGTTCCTGGAAATGCCGGAAAACATGATTTCCCCATACGTTATGCAAACAAACACGATCGGGCACTACACTAGTTGGATGCTGTGAAATAAACTAATGCTCAAAAGAAATTATACACCGCAAAATATTACATAAAAGGTCACACACAAAAATGAATTGATAAAACCATACTGAGCCATGTCATACACGTACACACCCATCCTTTACGGGAACAAACGGCGAACTGGTTAACGAATCGCCTAAACGTCGTCAATATTTCTTTCATATATCTATGCTGCTGAACACTCGGAAGTGGAAACTTTGATCCTAGTGTCCAGATTTACAGAGTTTCGCTGTATAAAATCATTAGCTATGTGTTATTGTGTCGTTTATTTGAAAGTTACACTACAACTCTTTTGTTTACGGGTGTAGTATAACCAACCGAAATATTGGTTATACTCTGGGGACTACTTTCTTCTGTTCATCTGCTTCTTAAAGAGACATGGAAATGCAAAAGATCAAATCAACCTTTATTTCGGGAATTACGTTTTTGAAACCTTGACATTAACCGTAAATTCCAAAGACCCAGCCTCACACGTGGTCGTCGCCCTCGCAGAACCTTCATGACCCCGTTTTTTCCGCGGTTTTAGGATGTTGCTCACCATCTCCTCTTGTTGCTCGTTTACACGGTTGTACTTTCTGATTTCATTGCTTCTGGGCCCAGTGGTTCGTGCGATCAACTGCTCATCCACCCTGTTGTTGAATACAGGAAGAACATCCAAAAGCAAGTTTAGATTTCCTAAGTAAACACTTTGGTGAAGTATTTGGACATTCAGTGGGGAAATCTACAATCGGTGACATCCTGAAGTCCAAGGAAAAATGGCTTACCATTCCGGAAGATTCTGCGGCCCTGTCTCGAGCAAGAAACGCCAAACATAAGAAAATGGAGGAGGCGCTCTTTTTATGGATGAATGACATGACCAGTAAGAATGCAGCTGTTAATGACGAGATGTTGATTCTGAAAGCGAAAGACTTCGGTGACAAGTTGTCAATTAAGGATTTCGCGTATTCTCGTGGATGGCTGGCCAGGTTCAAATCTCGACACTCGATTTCGAAGCAAGTGCTCCAGGGTGAAGCAGCCAGTGCCGACAAGACTGCAGTCATCGCGGGGAGGGAGGAACTGAAGAAAGTTTTAAGCGAGTACGACGCCGAAGCTATTTTCAACATTGATGAAACAGGACTTTTTTACAGATTAGGACCGAATTACACCCTAGCAACTAAAGCCACGCCTGGTGTGAAACGGTCAAAGGACAGAATAACTGTGGCATTGTGTGCAAATGCAAGCGGAACTGTAAAAGTAAAGCCATTTGTGATCGCTAAGGCAAGAAGACCGAGGTGTTTCGGACGTGATTTTAACCCAGAAGTCTATGTGAGATATCGACACAATACAAAGGCGTGGATGACAAGTGAGCTGTTTTGTGATTGGTTGTTGTACTTTGACAGACAGATGCGGTCACGTGGACTTAAAGTGATTTTGCTTCTCGACAACGCTGCAAGTCACAAGTGTGCTTCACTAACTTTGCGAAATGTGACCTTGCATTTTTTTGCCACCAAACACAACGTCACATATTCAACCGATGGATGCAGGGATAATTCGGATACTACAGAGATCGCTTGTGAGACATTACATCACCTGTGCCGAGGAGGGGCGTGACCAGAAACTGACTGTGAGACAGGCACTTCTCTTTGTGAAAACTAGCTGGGACGAAGTTAGTGCGCAAACAATTAGCAACTGTTACAGACATGTGGACATTATTTCTGAAGGTGATTCAGATTCTGTGGATGAAGATGACATTGCATTGTCGGAGCTGAGACTTCTCCTTAATGAGTATCCTTCATCGGATGTTGTGAGCGCCGAAGAATATGTCGCCGAAGAAGACAGTGAGTCAACATGCGAGCCACTCATCGGACAGCGCAATCATTGACATTGTCCAACCAACTGACGACTGTGAAGAAGAAGAGGAGGAAAGTGATCCAGCCCCCCGTTCCACCAAGTTGTACAGAGGCAGAGAAATACTTGGAAAGTCTGGTGACATATTTTGAGACAATCGGGGATGAGATGTTACTCGGCAAAATTATTGATGTCAAGAATTCCATGAAAAAGGTTAAAAGAACACAGACAACCATGAAAGACTTTTTGCTCTGATTTATTGTTGTGCCAGCTATCCATCGTTTTATAAGCTTTACATTAAATGCTTATTTGTTTTATCCAGAGTCGTGTCGTTTTTGTAATAGAAAGGGAAGCAACTCTTGCTTGAACTTGGGTCTTGATTCAGTAGTCCGGACAATTCGGTATCCGGACAAATTTGCTGAGAAACGCAACTGTCCGGATTAACGAGGCTTCACTGTAGTCGTCTTGCACATGTTGCATTGCCCTCAATGAAAGGTTTGTGTAGAAACCTGAAAAATACATATTATGTACATTAATCTTTTCATTCAACAATATTTAAAGTGACAAAAAAATCATCAAAAATGGAAACCGGACTTCAACCTCTTAGTCTTGCATATGTAAACAATCTACATGTCAGCAATTTAGTACCTGACATGCTAACACCTACAAAAACCTATGCTTAAAAATTATGGGGAGGGGAGTTCGGGGTGGTATTAGTTTTTTTTACATGAAGGGGTCACTTACTTTGTACATATACATTTTAGGGGGCGGTCATTTCGCGGCTCGTAGTATAACCAACCACTTCGTGGATTAAACTGCACATACGAGTCATTAGACTAACAACTAGTCTCTGAAATGAACATATTTTACTGAAAAAAGTTCATAGTGAAAAAAAATATAATATAATGAAAAGGAGCCCTGAGACTTTCTTCATTTTCAGAAGCTGAGGAAATGTAGACTTGCCACATTTTCTAGACTTGCGTGGGCTTTCTTGGATATATTTGCTTCAGGGTCTGTACGACAGACTAACGAGTCATATATAACTTATACTTATACACATGGGTAAGGTAAAGTACGATTAGAAGCTCAAGTTTCATATGCATCTTCATTACAAAGTCAGTTTATTGTAAAGGCTTTTCAGAGCCTATTCAATTCTTTTCACACAATATCGTCACAGCATTCCGTTAATGGTCCTGTGATGTTGCTGGAATATTGCTAAAAGCGGCATAAAGCCAAACTTAGTCAGTCAGTCTCGGGCGTCAAACATAGGTTACTGGGAAACAATGGTAAAAGCGTCGGCTCATCACCCCGAAGACCCGGGTTCGATTTCCCATATATGCACAATATGTGAAGCCGAATTCTGGTGTTCGCCGCTGTAGTACTGCTGCAGTATTGCTGAAAGCAATTGGTATTACCATACCGATATATTGGTAAAACCATACTCAGTCAGTCCACAAAGCGATCCTATCCCTACGACAATGTTATAATGTGAGACTGTGCCTTAGCGCTGAGTCCGCTCTGTCGCACGGGAACCTGTTCTTCCTGTTATTTAAACGGGTTGATATCTGGTTGTGTAACTCCATGCGTGACTGATTTTATTGCTAAGGAATATGCACCTTGTGTACGCGGTTATGGACACATTCCTCTGGATATACACAGCTACAGGTGACACGTCAAAGGAGCCTTGTTTTAAATGCATTCACACTCCTCGAATCAGGTGATTCAAAATCCACTTTGTTCCCCGGGTACCTCGACTGTGTGTTTGGCTTTGCCTTTTCACCTTTTTCTTTATAACAGACTTTCCACACTCAGCTGATACCCCATGGTGTAAACTGTTCAGAGCGGCGTTGAACATAACTCCATCATATGTATCATGTGCTTCATCTTCACATAAGAGTGAGTTTAGTTTTACACCGCACTCTGCAATATTCCAGCTATATGGCAGCAGTCTGTAAATAATCGAGTCTGAGACAATCCAGTGATCAACAGCATGAGCATCGATCTGCGCAAATGGGAACCGATGACATGTGTCAACCAAGCCAGCTAGCCTGACCACCCGATCCCGTTAGTCGCCTCTTACAACAAGCATGGGTTACTGAAGATCAATATTCTAACCCGGACCTTCACGGGATCTTCACATAAGAACTGGGCATAAGAGAGTTGAGCATAATTGCTCTTCGATCAACGTTATATTCATAAAGATAACAGTCCGCTCCCTTTTCATTTCGGTTATTTGAATGTCAGTTCGCAATGAAATAGAACAAAACATGTTCTATGTTTTGTGCTTCCTCAGTCTTCCCCCGGAAACAGTCGCTGAGTTATGTCCCTTAGATGTGTAAAGGTTCTGGTCCCAGACTGGTTTCTATTTCCGCCCAAAATTTACATTCGTGGTTGTACCCAAAAAACTGTACCGAAATATTGTTCAAAGCGGAAACAAATATACCAGACACCCACCCACACACTCCACCCATCCCCACCCCACCCACCCCCACCCCCCAAAAAGAGAGAGAAAGCAAAACAAGAGAAAAAACAATCGAGTTTTGCATTTAAAGTTTTCAAACGACAACACGACTACGATTTCGTGTACTGAAGTTGTCCACAGGCGGATCCAGAGTCCTGAAAGTTTGTTAAATGACCATTGAAACTCTCGGAAAAACGGGTGAAAATGAAGTGTGCAAATACACACACACGCCAAAAACCCATGTCTGGGGATAGCATGAGTCAGGGTGACATTACAAACGAAACGCTCTGTTTAGCTCACAACAAATCGCAGCGAGACCTGCTCGGGTAGATGATCGAGAAATAAACCAATAGGGATCGACAAGGAAGTTAAATGTTCATCCAGGGTTCTGACCTTTCTGTTAGTTAAGATACACGTGAGATACCCAGCCATGTGTTGATGCATCCCTGCAACAGACCGGAGCCATGTGGTTACAGTACATGGTTATTGTGTGTGGTATCTTACCCTGGCTAGCCACAGGACAAGGTAATATGACCATTTCATTGTAAATATTCTCCAAATAGTCATATGAGTGTCGAACGCCAAGAAGGTCATCCATTATATATGCAGGAAATGTATGGCTATCACTTGTGGTGAGATAAACAACAGTACGAAGGGAAGGTACTTCATAGACGACAACTTCTGTATTTTATTAAGATGCGACGTTTCGGTATATAGGTTCTTATGGATAAACAACCCTGCAATAAACAACACTGTAATATATAGCGTTTTAAACAACGACAGCACGATGATGCGTGTCTCTGTTAGCACATGTTTGGTTTTATCTTAGTAAATGGTGTCTCATATTGGTGTTAGTCATGAGATGGAATGGATGTCATTTTTAAATTCTCGCGACACCATGCAGTAAGCAATAATCCCAGTCAGATGCAGTGACAAAAGCTGTTCACAAGACTGTGCAGCCCCAGCCTGTTTCCAGTTCATGCTGTTTGTTGAGGTACATGAGCGTGCACTTCCTACGAACATTTCGTACCCGTGATTCATGTTAATGTCAGTAGCATATATAAATATGCTGAATTAACTACACAAGAAATGTTAATCCGAGACAAAACTAATCCCCAGTGTGTTGAAAAATATATCTATTTCCCAAACGTGTTGTTTTGCTTATATTAAAACGCGAGTTTTGGGGAATCAGCTCGCTTGGCAAGAGGTCTGCCCATACCAACCCACACACAACACAACACCTGAGTAAATAAACAAGGAGTTTATTACACAGCAGTCACTGAACGATTTTACATAATCAATCAATAATGGTATGGTTTATAATTAATTATTAGAACATGTTAACAATGCAATCAGCTATCAAAGTAAATAAACATCACATGTAGATTCGTTACACACGACACATACAACATTAATCGCGACACATATTCCAATGTACACAACAATAGTTCAGTACACTACACATCACCCCAGTGGGGGTTCATACAATCTACATTCTGTAATGGTCCCAAAACAGCATATAGTATTCACAACGTAATACAGCAGTTAAAATATCCGACACACTCTATACATTCTATAATAGTGTAGTGTCAATCAGTATTAAATAAACAATCCTAAACTGTAATACAGAAGATATGAGACACATACTAAGGGATGCCTCGTTCCACATAAACCTGAAGGTACTGCCAAGGGTGGTAACATATAGTTAAGGTATTTACAATAGGTGAAAGTTAACATAGAATAGCAATGGTATGTCAAAGTAGAAGGAAATAAAGTTTCTTACCTGAGTGAATTTACTAGACAGCCACCCCCTGATTTGTGACTGTCATCCGTCATATATATATATTCTAGCTATCGCAAATAATCGCGTTTACAGATAAAACTTACGATAACGTTGTTATTGTGAACGTGAGATTATGTCATTTAGTTGGACCGAAGCATCGATGGCCAGTCGCGAGTATGCCACGAAGATATATGTGGCACGCACGTGATTTGACCAACGTGGAATACAAACAGCCGTAAAGACAGATAAACGTAATGCACCTTGGTTCTATAAGCTTTAGAGATACTGGTCCCGGATTAAGTCCGATGCTCGTTATCAATGTAAGATTGAGGAACGTAGTCGGTTAGTCTGTAATATTTCCAGTTTTCAATAATGCATATCGTTATAAAATATTGGTAAAACTTTGTCTAGTTTTTCCGTGTTAATACTTATAAGGATCGGAATGTATGTACTTCCACACAGATGATCCGTTTGATTGGCATTATAGAAGCTGATGAATGATAAGAAGGCAACTTTTTAGACAAAAACTTCTTTATTATATTATGATGCGAAGTTAGAGTATAGATTCTAATACCGATGTAAAGCAACAGTAGGTTCTTATACCGTTGTCAGGCACTCTCTATTCTCAGTTCAGTTATTAACAATTGAAACTATTTTTGTCTCGCCTTCATCGAGTCCCTTTGTGAAAGTCTTTTAATTTATTGGTATCTTTTCTAAGACGAATTCCAACGTGCAATTTGTAACTTAGGCTTAGAATGAAAGTTCGGCTGCAACAATTAAATTAACAGAACAAAGGCATTAATAGTGCTCCTAGTTGATATTCTATAAAACGGTATATTCTTTACGAAGGTGGAGGGTCAAGTTTTCATCAAGAAACAATTTGTATAAAACATGCCTGGAACTCGACATCAGCATGTACCATGATTACACGTTAGAGTCGTATGTACAGTAACGAACAGACGGATATAACGAACTGAGTTTTTAATCCTACTGACTAGCTGTATACTTTAGTCGAAATTCGTAAACCGAATGAATATTAGTAGCCCCTCTGAATTCGCTATAACCATAGTTTACTGTATGTGTAAATGTGCTTTGAGTCAGCCCAGAACCCAATGTGATACGCTTCAGACGTTATTATCTCAGGTCCTCTCAGATTGCTTTACTGTCCTTTGTGCTCATGAAAAGTCTGTTTTTAACAGCGGTAATGACCCATGGCACATGTACGGCTTGAAAGCAATATAATTGCCAGGTACACGTCTATAGTTACAACTGCATCGTTCAAAATCACTGCAGATACATATACTCCTCACAAAATATTAAGCAACAAGTATTTTCAGTGTAATATCTTTATCAATCTCGATAGCGAGTTTTGCCGACATGTTACTGAAAGGTAAATATTCAAAGAATACATAACCTTTAGTGACTGTCAAATTGATTTATCTGATAACATTGACAACATCACCCGAACACAACCACCCTAAGAAACAACATGCAAGATGTGTGGCATGAATGTGCTCCACTCTTCACACATGCACCCTGATCGGTGTAAACCTACCTGTAATCATTCCTCTGGCACAACAAGCGGTTCTAACTTCATTTTTATGGATGATAATGCCCGTCCATGGATGATAATGCCTTTAGATCAACAACATCACACGTATGGACTGGCCTGCAAGGTCACTTGATCTTAATCCCATTGAATGTGCTTGGGACATTATTGGAAGTCGTGTTTACGGTCTCCATATTCACCCCCAGACTCTGGATGAACTTGAACAGGTGTTACAGAGAGAATGGCAGACGATTCCAGAACAGCATCTTTAACGGCTCATTTGGTCAATGCAAAGACGAGTAGAAGCTTGCATTTGTGCTCATGGTGGTCATACGTGTTACTGAACACTGCTTCACTGTCCAAAACTTTAATGTTAACATTTTGCTCCACCAATGCAGCACATTTTGCACGACTGTTTCACGGGTACAAGCTTTTGATGATTTGTGAGTCTATTATTGCTCACTACCATTTCATTTCATCTTGTTAATCGTGTGTACATATGTTGCACCTTTCTATTGCATCATTCCATGATTTGCAATTTCAGTAAATGAAAATGTAATGAGACCAAAAATGTGTGTTGCTTAACTTTTGTGAGGAGTATACATCTGATTGAAACAATACTTTCAGTGAAGTGAACATTTCGAAATGGCGGGTAGAAAAGTTGGTATAATTTGCCAGTGAGGAGTTGAGAAGAGAAGTGTGTACATTTTCTATAGCCACTGTGCTCAAATAATAAGCCTGTAGACACAGTATCATTCGTGAAGCCTCTTCTGTACTAAAGGCTCTGTCACACCTTGACGATTTAGCCAGCGTTTGTCAACGTATCAAAATGTATCTAAAACGCTGGTATACGCTGAACCATCGATGTTTCTTTTCAATGTTGGGCTTTACATAGCGTATTCATAACGAGTTGGATGTATACATAAGGTATTGATAACTTATATAGAACGTTATAACAAAGGATGCCGCTCGTATAATCAAATCCTAACCGCACTAGACTACTTTCTCCTGGTTCTATTGGCACGCAACTGGTACAGAGCCAGATCGATGAGGTCATGCTGATGTTGAAGGACAGATAATAGGTATTCTCCACAGGCCCTCGTGTCTTTGCGAAGATTAAAGATTTAAAAATTTTATTTTGAGATGACCACACACCCATTTTGTGCGGATATATCGTCATCCATTTGTGTCAAGATCGTTTAGTTGAGAGTCAAAATAGGGTTTCAATCGACTTGCAGAAATAACAATAAAGAATTGGTAGGTGTCATGAGTGGTGCTCGATAGGCCAATCATCCATGATTATATTTACATTAAGTTTAATAGATTGCATGCGATGGTAGCGTAGCGATCGGCAAAGCAGTCGGGTAGGGTGCACAGAAGTGTAAGGCCTTGTCATAATGTATTGTACTGTGAAGCATTTCAAGTCTAGGGGTGGTCATCTCAAATTTTATATATTTTTAAAAAATCTTAATCCTCGCAAGACACGAGGGCCTGTGTTATGGGTGTCAACGATGGCATAACTTACCTACAATTGATGGCCAACGTATGCAGGACGTATGAGCCATACGTTGGCACAAACTTGCATGCACAAACTTTTCCAACGACCTCGTCCTTCTACGACGTATACCAGCGTGCTTCTGTATTCAAAACGTCGGCATACGCTGGCTAAATCGTCAAGGTGTGACAGGGCCTTTACCAATACTACCAAGAACAACAGATCAGTTACACAAGGTTGAACTGTGCCTGTCACCTATGTATGGTATGTGTCTTTAAAAAAATACATCGAGGTTAACTTGTCCTAAAACTCATTTCTACCTGCAGTTAAGCCTGTTTAGAACTATCTGACTGGGCAAAACATTATGCCAAGGACCGTCAAAGGAAAATGAATATGTATACTTCATCCAACATGGGCTTATCTATTGTGAAATAATTATCGTGACAGTAATGCAGATCTTGTGATATTGTCGCAGTAATCAAGCTGCACTACTGTGTACTGTTCTCTCTCAGAATTATGTGTGCGTCTGCGTGTGTGTGTTCGTCTGTCAGTTTGTATGTATATATTTGCGCGCGTGCATGTGTGTTCGTCAGTCTGTGTGCGAGCGTGCTTGCGTTTGTCTTTGTGGGTGTGGGGATGACTGGAAGTAGCCTTCAATATTGTTCGTCTATACGTCACCAGCTGACCCTCCAGAGCTGGTGGTGGTGCTGGCCGACCTGGGTAAGACGGGCCAGCTCGGCTTCATCCACAAGATCAACCTGCACAACTGGGACACTGGCGCCCTCAATCTAGCCAACATGCTGAGGCCCACGGCTATAGATATCGACAGGACTCGCCACCATATATACTGGACCGACGTCAGGAACTACCAAATACGGCGAGCAGACATCGACGGAGAGAATGATCAACTGGTGGCCACCTTAGACAAACGTGAATATGCTTGTTACATGTTTTTGATTTTGGGTGACTCAATGTAAACGTAACTTATAATGTTGTATCTGTTTCAAAAGGGTTTGCATTAAATAACTGTTATAAGATATATATCATTATTTCAAAATGTTCAAAATTAAAGGAGTTTTGTGTTGCTCGGCCATGTATTCAAAGTCCAGCAGTATCAATACTATACCCTCCATCGTTTGTTAAAGTTTATATTTTACAAATTTTAAAATAATGGACCTTTCTGAAATAATTTTACGCACGCTTAAGATGTGATATTGGTTTGTCTGAAGATATGCTAACATGACACGCGATGCAAAACCATGCTATGGCAACATGATGCGTCATCCTATTCCATACTGAGTCAACATGCCGCGTGATGCTCCCCGATGCTATGGCAATATGATGCGTCATCCTATTCCATATTGCGTCTACATGCCGCGTGATGTTTCCCGCTGCTATGGCAACATGATGCGTCATCCTATTCCATACTGCGTCAGCATGCCGCGTGATGCTGCCCCATGCTATGTCAAAACAATGCTGTCCCTATAAGGTCAATTTAATTTATTTATTTTATTTAATTTTTTTTTTTGGGGGGGGTGTTAATCCATATTGAAGCAATATCAATTTTACAATCCTTGTGTAAGTATTAACGTCGTCATTTGAGCGAAATATTCTCAAGCACGACGTTAAACCCAATTTCACCTCACCTTGTAAGTATTACCTTACGACTGTTGTTACTGAAGTGACATGCTGTTGTACAGCATCATCTCCTGAGGGGCTAGCACTGGACAGCTACACCAAGCAGGTGTTTTACACGGACGCTGGGGTCGATGTCGTCGCCCGCATCGAGATGGACAGTTTCCAGAGGACAGTCATAGTGAACACCAGCCTTGATAAACCCAGAGGGATTGTTGCCGACACCAAGAACAAGTAAGACCATGCCAAACACATTGCTGGTTCAGTAAATGTCATGTGTGACTCAGGTGTGTTACCACTTGTAACGTATGGCAGGTGGTTTTCTAGTGTATATCACGTGTAAGTCAAATGTATGTCAGTGTATGTGTGTTACAAATGCTTCTGATCTGACAGGTGTATACAGGTGTAACGCTAGCTGTTTGTTACAGAGAGTGGTAACGCTGACTTCATGGGTGTATATCAGGTCTAAGTTAGGTGTTTGTTCGTTACAGAAAATTGTTAAGCTGCTAAATATGCACGAGGTATCCACGTTTTCAGGAAACTATACTGGGTCGATAACGGAAACGCGCCAAAGATCGAGACATCTGATTACAATGGAGCAGGCAGAGCAACTCTGGTTTCGTCTGGACTGGCACAACCCAATGGTATCACCATAGACGTAAAGGGTGAGATCTGCAACCATCATTATCACCATGTTACATGCTCAAGAGAAGTACATTATAATACCTCGTGTTTGTCGGAATATCTGGTTTAAAGGAGGATGTGGTGATACAAAGTGTGTCTTCTCTGTGTGTCATCATATCATGAAGGCACTGAACATTGTTTAGACTCCAAAGCGGCAACGGTTTCTTTGCCTTGATAAATTTACATGTTAGAGTTTGGGCAGGCTCAGTGCTGAGAGCCCCCACTTTGGGGATAACATGGTAATGTGACTTCTTTAGTCGTACAGAGAGCTCTGACAAAAGAAACCTGAAAATCGTGGAAATCTCAAAACGAGGTTCTGTCGCTAGAAAAGTTTAGCGGTCTGGTACGGACGTGATGTTATATCAATCACATTGTGCGTTACAGAAATACACTGAATAAGCCGAAAAAAACACATAACAGGTGTAACCAGCGAGCCAGATGAATTGTGAATCATTTTACGACCTCATCAAACAGGGGCAGTCTGTGACGTCTTAGTTAAGGTCATGCTGCCTAAATCTCGCCATGATATATAGAAATGCAATGTTAAAATTAAAATTCATTTGTAAATATCATTTTCTTATGAAACAAGTAATTGGAATTCAGTGTAACCATAGTTGTTTGTGATGTCTATTTTCACTTTCACTCGAGAAAATTCAGATCTGCTGAAAAGTAGGTCATTGTCAGAATAGGTTAATGAGACTCATGTTTCGGTTTGCTCGATATAATCTGTCATTTGGGACATTATATACTAAATAACCGGTATACTATTTACCTGACTGATTACTGTAGATGTAAGATGTAAGTACATGTCGAGTATATTCTTGCGGAGATTGAAATGTAATCATATTAAATAGATCAAACGTAAGACTTCTCCTGACAGACATGCACTAAATCGGACTCTTACGTCAGGGGATCACATGAAGGCTTATATTTGTCAAAGTTTGTCGAATCCTTACATAATGTTTGTTTGTTGTTTAACACCGCACCGTACTAGTCCAGCTCATGGACGGTGGCCTTTATACAGTCACTTCAGGACCAGACAAACCCGTGATTGTACGTTCAACGCCCGTTGGGTAACATGACATCCAAAGAACGAAACCACTGAGAATGACCATCTGATACATTTAGTTGTATCTTGCGACATCCTAAACTACCCCGGGAACAGGCACTAATACTGAGTGAGTGAGTTTAGATTTACGCCGCACTCAGCAATATTCCAGCTATATGGCGACGGTCTGTAAATAATCGAGTCTGGACCAGACAATCCAGTGATCAACAGCATGGCATCGATCTGTGCAATTGGGAACCGATGACATGTGTCAACCAAGCCAGCAAGCCTGACCACCCGATCCCGTTAGTCGCCTCGCCTGAAGATCAATATTCTAACCCGGATCTTCACGGGTGGCACTAATACTGACAACCGTTCACAGTAGTGAGTGAGTTGGGGTTGACGCTGCTTCTAGCAATATTCCAGCAATTCCATGGCAGTCCGTACACGGTAACACCCACAGCAAGTCATTACCCAGGATGTTTCAGTCTCTCCTGAACCCTAGTGTTTCTTCAGCATAAAAACAACATCTGTTTTGCTCGTCCGAAGGTACCTTGTTTTACTTTGCAGAGTGCGACCCTGGCTTCTTTGGTGCAAACTGCAAATCACCTTGTTCCAAGTGCCGGACCGGAACATCGTGTCACCACGTGACTGGCAAGTGCCCGGATGGATGTCAGCCCGGATGGGATGGGGACTTGTGTAATGTCGGTAAGACGGTGTGGATGTGACTTAGAACTAGTCTCCAATGACACAGTAGGACACGTATGACATCTACATGGATATGTACATATCTTTTTTTCAAATGAGACGTTTTATTTAAATAATTACGTCTTCTTTACAAACAAACACAAACGTTAAATGTAGAGAGAAGGCGACATATTTACTGCATTGATAGAAGTGACTGACAGTTATAAAAATAATATAGACCTGTGTTTCATTATGGAAATAAGAAGAACTTCAAATACTTGCACTTACCAGTTGAAAGTATCAGCATACTTCATTCAAGGTATTCAGATATATTTTGGTCTTCATATTTGTTTCCTTTCATTAGTTTAGTAAATTTTATGCCCAACTCGAGTGTTAAATTTGTTCTCCAGATGTTAGTAGCTATAAACGTTTTGCCCCGAAATTTGCTTTAGTCTTATTTGAGTTCATTTATGGACCTGGCCAGACAGATCCTCAATGTGCCTTTGTTATCTGTTTTCAGAATCGGATTCTGACCAGAAAGGGGGCCTTTCAATGGGTACTTCTTTTCTTACAACTGGTAAAGTTCATAGGAGCTGACCATTATATATTGTCTTAGGGCGAACAGTTATCTTTGATTTTTGTGCCATTTTTCTTTAATTTAACCACCAGCCACAATTCCCCTATTCCAACATCTTGTTCCAAGACGCACGGCACCTTCAGTACAGAGTCAAAACATCAAATGGTCGGTTTCTAGTGCTTACCTTTCCCTTAGTTCACTTAGATATTTCACAGCGCGACTCCTTGTTGTATATGCAATTGCATAGATTCATGCCGTTCTCACAGCAGGCATCGCATGGTTGGTTGGTTTATTGTTTAACGCCACACTCGGCAATATGGCGGCGGTCTGTAAATAATCGAGTCTGCACCAGACAATCCCGTGATCAAGAGCACGGGTTTGTTCTAACGACAGACATCGAATGTAAGGAGAGCTTATGTCCAGTTTAAAGGATGATGGTCTTCAGGCAACTTGTTCGACTGCCAGCAACAGTGTTTCAAAGGGCCTGGAACAACTCAATGCAAAATGACGAGCACGCATCTGCATTATCTGGAAGTGTCCTTTAAATAATCCACATATATTGTAGGTGGTCGCCTGTGCTGATCCCAGGCAGTTGTTGAAAAACAACTATATTGTAGGTGAACGCCTTTGTTCATCCAAGTCAGTTGTTGAGGACTATGTATATTGTAGGTGGTCGCCTGTGGTAATCCCTGTCAGTTGCTGAGTACATGTATATTGTAGGTAGTCGCCTGTGGTAATCCCAGTCAGTTGTTGAGTAACATGTATATTGTAGGTGGTCGCCTGTGCTGATACCAGGCAGTTGTTGAGTACATGTATATTGTAGGTGGTCGCCTGTGGTAATCCCTGTCAGTTGTTGAGTACATGTATATTGTAGGTAGTCGCCTGTGGTAATCCCAGTCAGTTGTTGAGTAACATGTATATTGTAGGTGGTCGCCTGCGCTGATACCAGGCAGTTGTTGAGTAACATGTATATTGTAGGTGGTCGCCTGTGGTAATCCCAGTCAGTTGTTGAGTACATGTATATTGTAGGTAGTCGCCTGTGGTAATGCCAGTCAGTTGTTGAGTAACATGTATATTGTAGGTGGTCGCCTGTGGTAATGCCAGTCAGTTGTTGAGTAACATGTATATTGTAGGTGGTCGCCTGTGGTAATCCCAGTCAGTTGTTGAGTACATGTATATTGTAGGTAGACGCCTGTGGTAATCCCAGTCAGTTGTTGAGTAACATGTATAGTGTAGGTGGTCGCATGTGCTGATCCCAGTCAGTTGTTGAGTACATGTTGAGTACATGTATATTGTAGGTGGTCGCATGTGCTGATCCCAGTCAGTTGTTGAGTACATGTATATTGTAGGTGGTCGCATGTGCTGATCCCAGTTAGTTGTTCAAAAACATGTATATTGTAGGTGGTCGCCACTGTGTCAAGCCTGCTGTGAGAAGATATAGACACTCACCCAGCTTGAGATGTTATTCAAGATGATCATAATTACTTCTTCCTACACCAAATGTCCGCTTGTGAGATATAGCCTGTTTTTACCTGGATCATTTTCATGTGCAACTCTTTCAAAATAGCTTTCCTTTTACGGAAGAATATTCACCGGTGAAAATCAGGCGACAATTGAAAACAATTTCTTCTTGAAACAACTGGCTCACGTGTTGTTAACAAGCGGTACTGAACTATTGATAGGGATGTTCCTCCACACACTCAACCAATTTGTTATCATAGTGATGTTTTTGTCAATTCAATTTTGAAACCGTTTTCTTAACTGAGCGCATGTTTGTTATACACCGATAAGCAATGATTAAAAAAAACTGTCTATCATACTGATCGTATTTCAGGACTGATCATTGGAATCGCTGCTGGTGGAGCTCTGGTTGTGGCCATTGTGGTCGCAGGAGTTGCAGTGTGTGTTGTCAAGTACGTATGTTACGTTTTGTCATAGTTTAGTTTAGGACACATCATTATAAAACTAAACGCCAAACCCTGTGTATGTTGGCATCATCGCCAGAGCAAAACCCGTCTCCATTATGCAATAGATTCCATTGGGCGTAAGAAAAGTGGGGAAAATTTAAGGTGCATAAAAATTGCCCTTTTAATAGTGTGTGTGTGTGTGTGTGTGTGTGTGTGTGTGCCTGCCTGTCTGTCTGCGTGTACATGTGTCTGTAGTTTTTTTTACATTATATTTGCAAGAGCAAATATCGCCACGTCGGAAGGGAAGTCCGATATCCAAAGGTCACATATTTGTTAGGATCGCATGGTGGACGGTTCTGTGGCGTTTTCCTTTGCTCAGATCAAACTTTCAGAATCGAGTAGGTGCTGAAATGAGGCCCAATCATTTTAGTTTCACCTTCTTCATATATATTTGAGGCGCAGGGTTGGTTGCGTGTTTGGAGTACAAGATCAGGCCCCGATTTCTCGAAACAAACTTAAGTTTTTACTCAAATTTCAACTGAGTTGGATAATTTGAAACAGCTGAATTTTTAACTCAACTGCATTTTTTAAATAAAAAAGCCCAAACAACTTAAGTAATCTATCCACCAAACTCAAATCGTCTACTATGTTTGAGTTTAATATCGATTTTAGTTCATTTGGGGAAATGCATTTTCTCAAATTTGAGTAAAAACTCTAAGTTAAGTCGAAACTAAGACTTAAGTTTGTTTCGAGAAATCGGGGCCTGATTTTAAGTAACTACTCATGTGTTTCAGCGGTTTTGTCGGTTTTACACAATTCAGTTGTACCATTCACTTTATTACCAGGAAACGCCGGAGACCTACGGTGGAAGAAGAAGTGTACACAGAGGTTGGTCCGCTGGACAAGACCAAGGATGAGAATCCGTATACACCTCTTGGGCCAGATGCGCCAGATCATTACATTCAGATATACACTGTGCCCGACCAGGAAGTCCAGTACACTAAACCCGCCTAGTTCCAGTCGTAGTGGAGATGCTTTCTCTGGAGTATCAGTTTGTTTGAACCTGTAAATAGCTACACTTTAAATAATTCACTAAAAGATGTGCGAATCTCAGTGAAAGGACGCTCAGTTTTAGAAGGTAGCCCTGGCCATACTCTATGTAACCAGGACTATACATTCAGGGCCGGTATTTCAGTAAACCTTCACCTAACCCTGGATCCACTCCAATGGCTCTTGTGAGTGCATATTCCAGGACCTTTGAGTAGCGTGGCAAAACAAACTGTCTCATGAAAACCAAGGTTAGGTAATCAGTGATCACGACAACCACTGGGATGGCACTAGGGCTAGGTGTAGGTTTACCCAAACGCCAGCACAGGAGGCGTGGAGCATACGTCCTGGCATTCAAACAAGACCATTCCAGACAAAGAAACGACGAAATCTTAAACCTTTGTGCTTTATCTCCCTCCCCCCACCCCACCCCCCTTTTCAATTATCCATGGTCTATCAGCACAGCTCGTGAAGTTGCAGAAGATAGATTGAGCGAGAATCTATGATACAAGCAGGTATGGATGGACAACCTGCCGTTTGTTAAAACACATATCTGTATATACCTCACACCTGCTACACATAATACATACGAATTCATGAACTATTGACATCAGTCAATATATGGCTGCTATTGCGAACAATATGGATTTAAACAAACTATTGCTGATATGCTAGTACTTTCAAAACTTGGCACTGGGTCCCAACACTCTAGCAAGAGTAGTTTTCAGTTCAACTGTCAAGTTAGCTAATGACTAGTATTTTCTCTCCTGTTTGTCTGAAATTTAATGAAATTTGGTGTATATGAAGATAGGAGTGGGGCCCGAAAGGTATGTTCCGTTTGTAAGATGTCTTAAATATTTATCTTGATTTGACTTTGTATTCCTCTACGAAATATTGAAAGCTGAAACTCAAAAAGTGATGATATTTAATAAATATTTGGATGAGCTTCAGTGGACATCTGCACTTTGACCATGATTTCATATTCTCTCAGAATGCTTCCTTGCATTGCAAACATTCTCAAATTCACAAGTTTGTCCACACCAGTGAATAAATTTGAATGTGCTCAAGAGCCTTAGAGGCTTCAATCTGATTTTCAAAATGTCCCCAACGCAGCTGCATTGAAAATGTTATATAGGAGCTGGTCTGCCAGATTTATTGACAATGTACTGTTAGCATTCTAAATCCTCTCAAAACACATATAGCTTGTAAAATGTTCTGTTGTTACTGGCAGCTTGGTGAAGCTGTATATTTCTGCTAGATGACATACTGTGTCCATGTTCTTTAGATTGTAGTTTTTCTAAACAAAAAGAAAATATGTATGACTTTATAAATGATATTCTGAGAAGGTAGATATAATAAGTCAGATGAAGAGTAAATGGTACTGTTCAAGTGTAAGTATTGCAACAATGTTCTACAGTAGTAAATTCAACCTTGCACAGGTAGCTCCACTGAGAAATTACCTGTCTCATGTTAATATTCTTGTCTTTGGTATTTACTAAGAAAATCTTTTATTAGCAATGCTGACAACCCTTTTTCTTAAGTGTATATTGACATTTGAACTGTTGAGAACATATAACAGTGTACTACAGTGACACAGAGCTGGGTACAACCTTGCTCTTCTATAACCAGGAAAGTGTCTCATGTAATATTACTAAACTGAGCAGAACAGAAGTGTATCCATTGTTATTGATGATGAGAATGTATTACAAACAATATATATTTCATGATTCTTTATTTGGGAGATATTCTGTTAACAACTATTTTTATATTCATAACAATGGCTATTACATTAATATAACCATACTAACAAAGACCGATATGGTGGGAGCAAGTCAGCAATATTTTATAATATCACAGGTCAGTGGCAGGACATCATGAACAACAATCCATTCCTTTGTAGTACAGCCAGGGACAGACCAGTTTCATATTCTGACAGTGGGTTCAGTGGATCTCTGTTTTATTTATAAAATATAATGTCAAAGAACATTCTTTAAAGAACATTTTCTGCTCCAGACTGTTGAAAATGGGTTGTCTGCCACAAAAACTGCATTGGTGCAAGTTGGGTTTTTTGTCTAACCTTTAAACAAAGACCACCACCCTGCCCCAACCCCATAGCCATATCCCAGCTACATGAGACCAGTTTGTAAATAACTGAGTTGGAACCAAACAAGTGATTGATAGTATGAGCAGCAGTCCCCACCTTCAGGTTACGGTGACACACCATCAGTCAAATCCCAGATTCTGACCACCCGACCCATTAAGTCAAGAACACAGAACACAGGCTGCTTGGGACCAAGTCTTACACAGAATCACAAAGGGAAGATGTATATGACCCATCCTGGCCCCGGATCTGCAAATGGCAAATCAATGACCAAACAGTTTTCCAAACCCACATGCACAAAAACACTCGAACTCTTCACACAAAATGATTCTGTCAACAGAGGTCAATAAACGTATGTCATTTTTATAATATGAATAACACAGTAATACTACTAATAGATACCTATATCAGTTATTCACACAACTTTGTCCACCAGTCTTTGCCACACTTGTAAATACTCCTCTGGGTGATGCCTCAGGTGTGCGGTGTGCTGGGACACCTCCCAGCTCTTGGCTTCAACCTGGAACTCCGGCACATTCTCCCTCCAGTTCTTCAACATCGACTCCATAGTGGGTACATGGCACATGGGGTCGTTCTCAGAATAAAAGAATATTGTTGGAACTTGAATTGGATTATCTTTAAACAGGGCCACTAACCTGTCATATTCGTCCTTTGTGTTCTTGCTTGTTGCTCTGTAGTACATATCCACCAGAGGGAAAACAGCCTTCTTGAAGACCATATTAGGAAGAAGGGTGACAATCCCTTCTGTCATATTGTCATATGAACCTATGACAATGCTATCAAACACCTGACCTATAACTTGATTTCTAAACATGCCATAGAGCTCTGGATGGCGGTCGGCTAGAGTCAGACAGATGGTATAGTTGAAGGCACCGATGGAGAAGGCATGAATAAACAACTTGTCCTTGCTTTGGCGTTTCACAACGAGGTAGTTAAATATTTCTTCAGCTAGCTTGTATCCCATTGGTGGCCAGAGGAAGTGTGACAGTCTGCCTGTAACTGTCAACACATCTAAACCAACATTATGATACAAAGTCGAGTACTTTCTCAGTTGATTGGGCTTGGCGTACAGCCAGTCAAATAACAGAACCAAGGGTTTCTCTGTTTTTTTAGTGTCCCGATCAGAAGTTACAGAGTTTGCTTCCAATTCATTCAACAGCAGGTGCTTAGACACTCTTGTGGTTTTCACAGTCTGGACAGATGTTGAATAGCAGCCAGTTCTGGTAACCATGGAAACAGATGGTGCTGTCCTTTCAGCTGCATGTCTGTATGTCAGCCGCATCAATGTTTGCTTCACAACATATCTAAATAGCAGGGACATCCTCCCAACTGGACTGGTTTCTGTCTACTGATGCTGTTAGGTAAAAAAAGCACATATGTGTTTGGACATTCAGACCATGCACCAGTCAAATGATGGACCTGAAATATTGGATGCACGATCTTGTAACAAGCATGTGACTTCATCATGGATATAAACAGCTGATAAGGATTAGTAACAGCTAACATTAATACTCTGACAAACAACACTCTATAGCCATACCTCAGTTGTATCACTGTATGTGCAGTAGTGGTGTGACGATTCATCGATACATCGATCCATGGGCCGCCGATACAATGAATCGATACAAATTTTTACATTGTCTTATATCCCGATACAATACTTCAAATGCGCCACGATACATCGATGTTTAATGAATATTGCCGAATCGCGATATCTGTCAAGATATACTGTTTTTAAAATCAGCACAAATTTCATTCTATTATGTGACTGCAATGCCTGCATCCAGCAACATGCAGATATTAAAGGTGTTTTGGATCTATGTTTTCTGTTTATAACAGTAATATATTTTATATATTTTGTACTTGTTTTTAAAAAAGTTCCTAATGTGACTTTTTTCAAATAAAATTTCTTTCATTTAAACAATGTTTTTGTTTTAAACTTAAGGTGCTTTATAGTTGGTGTTAGAATTAAAGATTTCAGTATTGTGATACGTATCGTATCGCCACCATTATATCTGGATTCGTATCGTATCGCAGCTTTAGTGCACAATACTTTGGCAATATGTCGCCGTGACTAAAATGTTCGAATTGTGATGGTCGTATCGCAGGTTGTATGCCAATACCAGCACTAATGTGCAGGGATTTTAATAGCCACAGATGTATCACAGTTTTAGAAGGAATTCAGTTTCTTTTGAATTGTTTTTTTGTAATGTGACAGCTCGGATTTATAACGGTGGAAATTCTAATATATAAACCCAGAACTACTGCATCTTTGCTGACAGGTGCATAATATTGCTGAAGGGGTTGTTGTCGACACAGGTACTACAGATATGTACCCCAGGTACGTTTCTGTATACAGACATGTACCCTAAACAAAGACAAACTACAGAAACGTACCCGGAACCTTAAACGACGGTCGAGTCCATATTCCGCAACCCAAAACCGAAACCGTATGTAGTTGTTCCCGTTCAGCTGATTGCGAGTGGTGCACCGTGACATATTCGTTACTGTGTATGCTCTTATATAACGATATCAAATGCATCTTATACAACAGTATGACCGTTCCGATGAAGAAAACTCCACAATGCAGAATGGAATCGTCCTAGGGTACGTTTCTGTATTATGATTTTGGCTAGGGTACATTTCTGTATACAGAAACGTACCTGGGGTACACATCTGTAGTACCCGTACCGACAACGACCCTTTCAGTCATAATATTAACCGACCCTGAGTTTACTATTGTTGAACAGGATTACGAAGGCGATATGGTATAAATTTAAAAATGCGAAAGAAATATATGCAAACTTCGTCTCCGAAGGAGAATCAGTGGTGTCAACTCCCTGGCAACTGTTGAAAGGAACAATGTAACTCACATGTCAAACTTTGAACTTTGATCTCCGAGCAGCAAATGTCAAGGGAGGTCACCCAGTGGTAGGTGCGTTGAAAACCACTGAAAATGTATTGGATCTTCGCCTGGGTGAGTGAGTGAGTGATATTCCAGCAACATCACGGTGGGGGACACCACGGTGGGGGACACCAGAAATGGGCTTCACACATTGTACCCATGAGGGAATCGAAACCGCGTGACGCTTCAACCACTATCCCCACCGCCCGTCTTGGCTTTGGGATGACCTGTAGTATAATCTTCTATGGAATGTTTGTCTTTGAAATTGTTTTGAAGAAGTGTATCATGATCATGAATGTGTTTTTCAACTTATGAAAATGGATGGAAATTGGAAAGTTCCAGACAGATTCCTTCTTCACATGTTTTTATGTTTTTCATATTTTCAAATTAAATGATCTACTTAAAACACAGCCCAAGGTAATAATGAAATATTAGCAATTATTTTATGCAGATCACTTTAAATAATAAATGTAATTGTTCACTGAAATATGCTGACAGTGCATAAGCAGAGTTCAAGTCAATGTACTGAATCCTGAAAATAAGGAAAAAACATGTATCATGTGAAACATCTTTTATTCAAATAAATAACTATGTGTTTTCCACAGTTCATATTTAAATATGCCCTATGTACGAAGGAAAAATATATATCTAATACTGTTAAGAAATACCAGTAAAGATAATCAGTTATCATGATTTACATAATCAAGATGGCAATTACTCGCAATATAACTTTATATTGTATAATCTTAGTGAACAAATGAGTTTGAGATATCTCCAGGAATCACACAACATAGCTAACTACAAGTTAGAGAAAATATTATTCCATTAATCATGATGAAGAAATATGTTTGTACATACTATTCTCAAAGTAAAAATCTATTTATCAAATCTCTAAATAAACTGGTCAAGAAATAGAAACTAAATCACAGCTGAGGCCTCCTGTTCCAAGTTTGTATGTGTAAATTAGAAAAGCAAATGTTAACATGGTAAAATCTGAAAGATGACATGAATGTAAAATGTGTTATTTTAGTAAAATCGGTGTCAGTAGTTAAAACTGTACAGTAAATAAATTTCAATTAACACAAGTGCATTTAATGAAAACGACTAAGCAGTCTTTTCCTTTCACACAAGTTATTCCCCAATACTGTATTGTACATTCAAAATGTGGACTAACCAGGTTTCTTAAGTTTGTATATTATCATATTATAATGTTTGAAATTAACTTGTGGGTTTAAAAAATGTATCACCTTTTAAAACAGATTTCCTGAAAATAGGCATCTAACAACCATCCATATTTTGTTCTATGTTCCCATCTCCCACCTCCTGGCACTGAAGTTTCATTCGGCCATAAAATAATTTAAGGTTTTCATGTCACAATTTTCCCAGCTACTGTGAAAGTCTATGCCCTGATGCAATAAAACAAAACTTTTACCAATGTGGAAATTACACACACTCATAAAAAACAGGTTATCTTGATGTTTCTTCATCTACATTTATTAATAAATTGTCTCAATCTACATTAAATGTTAGATTTTCTTTAAAGAGTTCATTTAAAAAATCTAAAACATTTCTTTTCTTTTTTTATATTTATTTTTTTGCCCACCCGCTGCCTTGCTGGTTGAGGTTGGAGATAAGACACACATACAAAAATACAAATGGTCTGGCATTAAAGATGGTAATGAGGGAAGTGGAATATCTGGGGAAAGAGATTTCACTGCTTCTATTTCTGAAAAACATTCACTTCTTTGTATCTGTTTCCATAATCCTCATTCTTGACCCTCAGTTATCCAGTGGACCAGATCTCCATTCTATAATGATGTACAGGATGAAGATTTGATACACTGGATAATCGAGGTGGATGCTTCCGGTGAGCTGTTGCATTTGAATTTGGGTCTCTTTCTTTCAACCAACAGCTTCTTGACCAAGAGTGAGTGAGTGAGTTTTACGCTGCTTTTACCAATATTCCAGCAATATCAGGGCGGCGAACACCAGAAATGGGCTTCACACTCTTGGCCATGAAATTCTGTTCAACTAACAGAAAACAACCTGCTACCATTAACTCAACAGCTAGATGTAATTAATTGGGAATGTAAGGAACAAATATTAATGTAAGAACATATGATAAATATGTAACTGCCAATACATCATAATCTACCTTCATGGAAGTCGTAACAGTCAAACTCAACACATGACATCACAGACACCTTTCAAACTGTCAAAAATCATCACACGTTGTATCACAAAACAAACTGAATATAAATGAGAATTTTAACACTTGTTAAGCATAGGTATATATGGTTAGGACAACATACAACCATAACGATACAACTCCATCTGTTGAAGCTCTGGTAATGGTCATGGTATATCGAACCTAACTGATCTGGGAACATGAAGTCGGAATGAAGGAAGCAGTGAAAATCTTAAATTCATAATTTCAGAAGAGAGGTATGGAGGGAAGAAGGACAAGGAAGATATTGTCAGTTGGTGGCTTGATAGGCTTTTTTCATCAAATGTATGCTTTGGAAATGTAATTATTGAGTGAGTGAGTTATTCTGTTTTTAGCAATATTGCAGCTACATCATGGCAGGGGACATCAGAAATGGATTTCACACATTGTACCCATGTGGGGAATCGAACACGGCCTTCGGCGTGACGAGCAAATGCTTTAACCACTAGGCTACCCCACCGCCTCGGAAATGTACATAACTAATGTGTTGGGTTACTTTAGCTTGCACAAGTAACTCACAATTAAACTTAAGGGGGTGAGGTGTTGTAGGCTTGGTGAGAAGGGGGTGTTTTACGCAGCTTTCAGCAATATTCCAGCAATATCACCTGGGGTGAGGTGTATGTGCTTGGTGAGAAGGGTGAGTGAATGGGTTGAGTTTTACGCAGCTTTCAGCAATATTCCAGCAATATCACGTGGGGGACACTAGAAATGGGCTCCACACATTGTACCTATGTGCTTGGTGAGAAGAGGCGCATAGGGTGTGTTTTTAAACACAATAAATGGAAGGGGGAGAGCGTTATGACTGGCTTGGACTGTTTACATGCACATACTTAGTTTAACATACACAGACAAGTCTATGAAAACATATTTATATTTTCATTGAGAATACTACAAAGACTGGGCTTATTTGAAGATATGATCTTAAACATCTCTGTGTGCTCTCATTTCTAGTTTATTTTCCCCGAAATGATATCAGCACAGATGACAATTTGTATGTTTTATGTCTGGCTCCCAACTCTTGACATAATGACAAAGATATTCTATCAAGCTGACATGACTTGATCCAAGCTGAGTGACATTGTGGGAAATACTTCCTTGCTGGTAGAGCAAATCTATACATAGTACATGACTTGCTTCTCAAACACTGTGTTATATAAACAGACAGTTGCACTAACCTCCCAGTTACTTCCAACCAATATATATATACTGATTTACAATGGGGTTTTTGCATTTGTTTTAGTCCCTGAGATTGTATCCTCTTTAAGGTGTTATACAAATTGTTTGATAAAACTTTCAAAAGAGAAAATGTACCTTTACCTAGATAAGAAGTTAAACATCAATCACATTGTTGATACACATTTTTATGTTCAGAACACACTGAGAACTTATAGAATAGTTTCAATTCTTCCAACAAATATTCTAACTACAAACAAACTATTGTGCATATTGTCAAGTATTTCCCACTGTCTAAATGAGTGAGTTAGTGGGGCCATGTTCTGCTCCTCATAACATTCCAGCTATATCACAGCTGGGGACACCAGGAATGAGCTCCAGACACTGTGCCAGTATGGGATTTGAACCCAGGCCACACAATCCAATGTTTTAACTACTCAGGTTGTTTATAAATATACAATACAAAAGACTTCAATGTATGGTCCATGTATACTGTAACTGTCTTTACTGACAGCTTGAAAGTAAGAAAAAAACAGCCCTTAAGACAAACAATCTTCATCTATGGAAGGATGAGTAAAATGGTTTCCACACATTTTTTCAGAAACTTCATCAAGTCCAGTGAAGAATATATTTTTGGGGAGTAAACCTTGGGTACAAATAAAAACCTGGATAACATATTGTCATTTACTAACTGTGCCACCATTACCATAATGTTTGTATGCACATGCTGGTGATCACTGGATTGTCTGGTCCAGACTTGATAATTTACAGACTGTCGCCATATAGCTGGAATATTGCTGAGTGTGGCATTAAACAACAGACCAACCAAACAACCTTAATGTTAGTAAATCTCATCCTCTGCATCATTTTCTCATCAGCATCCAATAATGAGGATTTTACTGACGCTTCATTCACATACACAATCCACTGCCAGAAAAACTTCAAATGATGGCATCTGTATCCCTAAGGCAACCTCAGACTGTTTACCGGCGCAATGAGGACATCAGATATTTACATTTCACACATCAGAAATAGTATCATTGTTATGAAATATGGAACAAACAAACTACAGGATGAACGAAGACAACTGAAAAAAATGCAAATATCAAAAACATGTTAAGAAACCAATACCTACACCCATCTGTCTAGAAACCAATACCTACACCCATGTGTCTAGAAGTCAACAGATACACATGTTGGAGTAACGTCACACAGCAACAATTAGCTTCACACCAAAATAAAAAAGTTTAACAGGACTGGCTATAAAGATGTAAAACTCAAAATTCCGGTACACAACACGATTGAGGAACAGTCACATGGAATACAGCAAACATAATAATTACACTAGTATCAAAGCAAACATTGCTTATTATAATTAACTTGCCTTAAAACAAAATGATCAAATTTCTGGTTTCAAAGGAGATTTTGATACAATATCAAAGTTAATACAAGACCGACAGACAATCCTACATGTATATGTGAAACACTGACTTGTGAAAATGAATAGTAAAATACTTTTTTCGGATGGAATGTTCACAAGTTCCCCAGTCTCGTACCGACTCACTCAGATTTTATCATTATGTTTCAGTCAGGTCTTAAGTGTTTTCATTGAGGATTGAATACGACGAATAGCAAGTGTTGAGATTTGATGAATCACAGTCGTCCAGTCATATGGCAATAAAGTGCATCATGGAAGCCAAATACCATGTTGCACACCAAATTCTCCTTGGACTTTTATGGATATTTACAAGTTTGGAACATGGTTATTCATTCAAAAACGTCCATGCTGACAGAACTTGTCTGGAATGGCTGCATGTTGAAATGTTGAATTTACATATGTGTTGAAATGTTGAAATTCCATCCTCAATATCTGGTGTATCATGTTTCCATCCTAATACAATCAATACCCTGGACATATTCACCACCATAGCTCTATTTCAGAAGTGACACCACCATCCATCCTTCTTATCACCAACAGTTTCTTGCAGTAACGAACCTGAACTCAGCTAAAAACTAAAATGGCTCCTCTGAACACTTGACAGACTTTGTGTGCTGGTGTTTAGGTGGCTGACTCTGAAAGTGTGGGTTTGAATCCCGGATGGGACTCACCCTCCTTGCAATAGCACACAAAAGACAAGACAAATTCCTGGCTGGAAAATGCTGCTTGTTGTAAGGAAGAAAAGAGTAACTTGATTGAATGTTTCTCTCAAACTGGTGTTAACATGGTTAAACAAAAGCTGCGATGGTGAAAGTGTCTAGGGTATATATCTTACTTCCATGCCAGAGTGTTGAGATTTGATTGGTTCCCATTTTGATGAAATTCTGTGTGTAATCCACTGGGAGAAATAAATGTCTGAACAGGAAAATAAATCCTTTACACCTCACCATGAAAAAACAGGCAGCATAATTAAATGACGGCTGAGCAGGCACAATAAATCTCCTGTAACCCAATATGAAGCAAAAAGCTGCACTTTGTTTAAAAGTGAATGAAAAACATGCAACTCAGCACAAATTAATCTCAGCTCAATCAAACACGTTTTTCTATCAATTTTCTGGGTTTTTTTGCAATTGCAGAATGAAACATGCCAGTAAGATAAATATTGAGAGGTATATGTGGATTGAGAAGTCTAACTTTAGGTTTTATATCTCTCAGCTTGTGGTACAAAACCTATTGTGTGACAAATATAAAACACTCAAACACCTCATGGTACTGCTGCTACTTATCACAGAATGGAAATATGAGACAATGGATTTTGAAATATGGGCGTATTCATGTCATGGATACCAGATTAATAATTGCCTGGAACATGCTGTATCCTATAGTAACCATAGCTATTTAACTGTGTAAAAAAAGAAGAGCAGACTGATTAAGCATGTAACAATACACCACGACACTCAGAAATTAATAGATTGTGTCAAGCACTTTGAAACTTCTTTGCTATGAGAGAGTCAAGTTTTGCTCCAAGTTGTAAACGAGGCCGTTTAAGACTGGGACTCCAGTCATCATCATCATCATCATAACCTTCTTCTCGAGCCTCACCATCACTGTGAGACTCATCTGCGACTTCTTCTTTGACCTTGACCTCTTCAACTTGAACTGATCTGTGACCTCTTCTTGTTTTAAGTGCTTTCGTGTCATCTTCCTCATCTGATGAAAACTCCCTCTTGAGACTGCGTCTGCAGGGTCTCATCTGACTGCTGCTGCTGCCGCTACCTCCTAATGGCCTGAAGTACTGCGACAGTTCCTCTTCATCATCACATTGATCTCTGGAGGAACTGTCATCATTGTCCACAGACTTCCTCTGTCTGGGAATCTTCCTCGGGAGTCGACTTCCTCTCCCTCCGGTGAGATTTGAAGTCACCTGACTGGTCAATAGGTGGGCTGTCCAACATTTCTTGCGCATCCTGCTGGTCAGCCTCATCCTCGTCCAGTGATCGCTCCTCCCTGATTCGCTCGGACATGAGACTCAGGAAGTTCACAGCTTCTTCCTCCATGCTTTCCGTGCTCTCATTGAGGCCATGCTTCACCTTCTTGTGGCGATTCAGGTTTCCTGAAAAAAGAGTTCAACAATAATGAAACCTTGTGAACTCTTGTGGGGTATCACATATGTCAAATATCTGAGTTAAACGATAACTATAACCAGCCTGCCAATGACCATTAGGTCAGGACCATACAGTAAGAGAACCCTGAAGGACTATCAAATGGTATGGAACTACACAGAGCAGTCAAGATCTAATATGGAAATCACAATTCCATGAATTGCCATAAACATGAACTTACCATCACACCTTTTGTCAGTATGTCTGCAGCATGGATATAATATGTCGCGAGAGTTACTGTAATATCATACCAGATAATAACTTACAGAGAGATGCTCAACTTCTATAGCCAGTTGGCCAGATACATTTCAGCTATTCATCTACTTGGAAAGATGGCATCTCACGTATGCTGGTTTTATATTGTGAACTTGAACTTCATATCTTGAACTTATTCTAAGACAGATATGATGAGATATGACAACCAAGTGAGCGAGCGTGACCACCCGATCCTGTTAGTCGCCTCTTACGACAAGAATGGGTTGCCGAAAACCAATATTCTAATCCGGATCTTCACGGGTTGACCATATATAACCTTCTAAGGTTGACCAACACCAATATTACATGACTGGTCTCGGAGATAGTTTCACATATTGTGTCATTCTTGCAACAAGGGAACCATGTACCTTTGAGTGTGAACGAGCTCCCACAGAGGCACACATAGGGCTTGGAGTTGTTGTGCATGTGCATGTGGCCCTGGAGGTTGTGCAGGCGCCCAAACTCCTTACCTGGAAAACAAACAATCAGTAACCATGGAAACAAATGTCATTGAGGATCATAATGACACCCAGATGTTCATCATGGGTCAGCATCATTGGTCATCACAGCCTTACCTGTCTGAAACATTACTCATAATCCACTTTCAGATTCTAGGTTTCATGATACTTCTGTGGACCCAAACCAATAGGACTGGCTATCATGACCAATTTATCCAAATCAAACTTTTACATTTTTAAGATCAAACACAAAAATCAGGTATAATGCAAATGCATTTTATATGTTTTTTTCTACAAATTTATATACATTCATACATATAGATAATTTTTCAGTATAAAAATCCATAACCAAACAGGAAGAAATCTGGCCTCATCAGATCTCTGTCTTCGTACCCATCAAACAGATACATTGAAAACATGTTGACAACTTACCACAGATGCTGCACCAGAAGGGTTTCTTTTCAGCATGAACCACCATGTGTGCCTTGAGAGTCTGGGGCTGGGTGAAGGTCTTGTCACACTGCTCACACCTGTAGGCCCGCTCAGAGCTGTGGATCAGCATGTGGCGCTGGAGGTTGGCCTTCTGGTTGAAGGCCCGCCCACATTCCTGGCAGCTGAAGGGGCGCAGGCCAGTATGGGTAAACATGTGGGCCTTGAGATGGTGGTCCTGTGGGAACAATATACAGGTGAGAACATGTGGGCCTTGAGTTGATGGTCTTGTGGGAACAATATACAGGTGAGAACATATGGGCCTTGAGGTGATGGTACTGTGGGAACAATATACAGGTGAGAACATGGGGGCCTTGAGGTGGTGGTCCTGTGGGAACAATATACAGGTGAGAACATGTGGGCCTTGAGGTGATGGTACTGTGGAAACAATATACAGGTGAGAACATGTGGGCCTTGAGGTGGTGGTCCTGTGGGAACAATATGCAGGTGAATATACATTGGGGCCTTGAGGTGGTCCTGTGGGAACAATATACAGGTGAGAACATGTGGGCCTTGAGGTGATGGTCCTGTGGGAACAATATACAGGTGAATAACATGTGGGCCTTGAGGTGGTGGTCCTGTGGGAACAATATACAGGTGAGAACATGTGGGCCTTGAGGTGATGGTACTGTGGGAACAATATACAGTGGGAACAATATACAGGTGAATATACATGGGGGCCTTGAGGTGGTGGTCCTGTGGGAACAATATACAGGTGAATATACATGGGGGCCTTGAGGTGGTGGTACTGTGGGAACAATATACAGGTGAATATACATGGGGGCCTTGAGGTGATGGTACTGTGGGAACAATATACAGGTGAATATACATGGGGGCCTTGAGGTGATGGTACTGTGGGAACAATATACAGGTGAGAACATGTGGGCCTTGAGGTGATGGTACTGTGGGAACAATATACAGGTGAGAACATGTGGGCCTTGAGGTGATGGTACTGTGGGAACAATATACAGGTGAATATACATGGGGGCCTTGAGGTGGTGGTCCTGTGGGAACAATATACAGGTGAATATACATGGGGGCCTTGAGGTGGTGGTCCTGTGGGAACAATATACAGGTGAATATACATGGGGGCCTTGAGGTGATGGTACTGTGGGAACAATATACAGGTGAGAACATGTGGGCCTTGAGGGGCCTTGAGGTGATGGTACTGTGGGAACAATATACAGGTGAGAACATGTGGGCCTTGAGGTGATGGTCCTGTGGGAACAATATACAGGTGAATATACATGGGGGCCTTGAGGTGGTGGTCCTGTGGGAAACAATATACAGGTGAATATACATGGGGGCCTTGAGGTGATGGTCCTGTGGGAACAATATACAGGTGAATATACATGGGGGTCTTGAGGTGGTGGTCCTGTGGGAACAATATACAGGTGAATATACATGGGGGCCTTGAGGTGTGGGAACAATGGTGAGAACCCTGTGGGTAAAACAATATACAGGTGAATATACATGGGGGCCTTGAGGTGGTGGTCCTGTGGGAACAATATACAGGTGAATATACATGGGGTCTTGGGTGGTGGTCCTGTGGGAACAATATACAGGTGAATATACATGGTCCTGTGGTGGTCCTGTGGGAACAATATACAGGTGAATATACATGGGGGCCTTGAGGTGGTGGTCCTGTGGGAACAATATACAGGTGAATATACATGGGGGCCTTGAGGTGATGGTCCTGTGGGAACAATATACAGGTGAATATACATGGGGGCCTTGAGGTGGTGGTACTGTGGGAACAATATACAGGTGAATAACATGTGAGGTGATGGTACTGTGGAAACAATATACAGGTGAATATACATGGGGGCCTTGAGGTGGTGGTCCAGTGGGAACAATATACAGGTGAATATACATGGGGGCCTTGAGGTGGTGGTCCTGTGGGAACAATATATAGGTGAATATACATGGGGGCCTTGAGGCGGTGGTCCTGTGGGAACAATATGCAGGTGAGTACATGTGGGCCTTGAGGTGATGGTACTGTGGAAACAATATACAGGTGAATATACATGGGGGTCTTGAGGTGGTGGTCCTGTGGGAACAATATGCAGGCAGCTTGAGGTGGTGATCCTGTTGGAACAATATACAGGTGAGAACATGTGGGCCTTGAGGTGGTCCTGTGGGAACAATTTACAGGTGAGAACATGTGGGAATGAGGTGATGGTACTGTGGGAGCAATATACAGGTGAGAAGATATGGGCCTCGAGATGGTGGGTCAACCATTATCATGGCTATACAGTGAGTTCAGTTTAACCCAGCCTTCCAGTTATATCACTAATTATATGTCAGCTTGATATTACATTTAAAGTGATGTAGGTCCCAGATGTTTCGGCCACACTTTTTTTGTTACTTGGTTTACAGATCAGCCGACTGTAATTTTTGCTGAAGTGGAAAAAATAGTAAATTTCAATTTTGCCATCTATTTACCGCCGATAAATAAAATCCGAATAAATATTTTTAAAATCTAATTTATTGAAATCAACTTTCTATTACGAATTTAGCATCGATGCAAAGCAAAATTTAAAATACTGAAACACATTAATTAATTACCGAGTGGAAATGGTGTTTCTTTAAAACCCTATTATAGTAGGAAATGAGAACACTTGAATGGCTGATGGCATATTCTATTTTTTCTAAACAGCCTACTTGTAGTGAAAACCACTTTGGGGAAACCAAAATCTGAAATAGTATTTTATTTTTTTAAATTTTACCGCCTACCGACAGGAATGTTGCTGTGAGAAATCTGTAAACCAAGTACTAGAAAGTGTGGCCTTACAACTTGAGTAAAACCTACAAGCACAGGTATGGTGCTCACCTAAATGAGCCAAAGAGGGATAAGAACCAGTAATGGTATTATTTGCCATGTCAAAGGGATTCAATTCTGCAAAGCAAAATGTGTTGCCTTAATCAACTGTGTACTGGCCCCAAACCCAAAGAGAAATATATATGCCCTACACCTTGCCCAGAAAAAAATATGGATGTCTCTATTTCACCTGGACAAGGCCTCAGTTGAGTTCTATTTAACAATTACTTAGGTCAAGAAAACAAGTAATTTAGTGTAAAGAATCACAGAACACAGTGCTGAAGTTACCAACCTTCATGAAGTCCATCCCACACTCAGTGCAGATGTAGGGGCGTGTCCCAGAATGGGTTACCATGTGGTCCCTCAGCTGACTAGGGTAGCGAAACATCCGACTGCACTGTGTACATGTCAGCTCCTCCCTCTGTTCGTGGGTGGCCTGGTGCTGTTTGAGCAGCTTGGGGCTGGAGAAGTCCTCACCACAGTCAACACACTTGTCCCTCCCAGGGATGTGCTTCTCTTTGTGGACTCGCAGTTCACTGGGGTAGGCGAAGCCTCGATTGCAGATATCACAGATGTAAGGTTTGTTGTCCAGGTGGACAGCTTGATGTCTCTTCAGATGGCTCACTTGGGTAAAACCCTTACCACAGAGTGGGCACACGTGAGGTTTGACGTTGTCATGAGTCAACATGTGAGTGTTCAGGTGGCTCAACTGTTTGAAATATTTGCCACACACCATGCACAGATGGGGTTTAATACCGCTGTGGTCAAGGATATGAGTCACAAGATTATGTTTGGTCGTGTAGTTCTTTGGACATTTGTGACACTGCCACCGTTTTTGATCTCCAACAGTGATACACTGGGAGTCATCGATCTTCACATGCACATCCATCCTTTCCATTTCAAGCTGCTCTTTCTTAGCTTGCCACATTTTACGCTTCATTTCTGCTTCCTTGTCAACATAATCAAAATATGGAATGTCTTCAAGGTCTGGCTGAACCTGGAAGAAAGTTTTTGGATTGATGGCGCACTTCCCCATGCCCGGGAACACAGGACCATTATCGTCATCATCAGGCTCGGACTCTTGCAGTTGTCCTCTGTCAGCACTCTCTGCTGCAGAAACATCAACAGAAGGAGCTTCTTCATCGATCATACCCTCAGAACCAGAGCTCCCAGCCGGTGAAGGAAGGTTGCCTTCCTGGCCAGCAGAGGTCATTTCAGATGTTGATGGAATGCCAACCCTATTCTGAGACACCGTGTTCCTGTAAGATTGTGGGTCCTGCTTTGCTTCTGCATCATCAGTAAAGCCAGAACCCTGCCTTCTATCACACTCTAATCTTTCTTTGGATTCAGCTTTAACATTGTGGTTGTCATCCTGATGATCAGTCATGTTACCAAAATTGATAGTATCATCAAAGTCAACATTGTCACTGGTGTCATACACATTGCAGTCTGTCTGGTGTGTCCACGGAGACTGATCACCAAACTTCCCTAACAAAAGGAATCGGACTGTACGGGACGAGGGAGTATCAGGAATGGATTTAGGTTTACATACAGCTGTTCTCTCTTGCGTGACTCTAGAGGAACACTTTTTAATGGTATGTTTGAGTGAAGGTTTGGATATATGTATTTTATCTTGAGTATCATTTGAGGAATGGGGAGTCAAAGACATGGCTGTTTCTGAATACTTTTCTCCTTCAGCTTCATCATCAGTTGGCAAAGGTGATCTATCATGGCTATTGCTGCCACTTCTGTCTTGGAGAACAGAACCAGTGGTTGAATGCTCCGAGTTGGATGTTTGTTCAAAAGCAGACCCATTAACAGGAATCAATCCAGCTGCTGTGAATGACAGGTTCTCTCTATTATTATTTGGCAAAGAAACTGATGGTTTATGGGGAACACTGTGAACTTGCCCTGGTCCAGATTCAGACTGGGCAAAGAAGCTGGAGTTCACTGCATCAATATTTGGAGATGCTTCAAAACAAACTTGTGTTGGACGATACTGGGAACTGGCAGATTGAGAAGATGTGGAGGAGCTTGAGTCATGCTGCACAGCAGGTGATTGATCTCGGGGCAGGAACTCAGCAGGTTTCTGCTGACGCTGCTGCTGGCTGAGCTGAGTATTTGGTTGGGGACCTGTAAAGAACACTTGTCCCTGAGAATCTACTGGATCTGACATGGGCTGGGAGGAATGAGAAGTGGTAACAGCCATCTTGCTTTGCGCAGCAAACATTCGAGCAGCTTCTTTGCTGTTTGTCATCAGCTGTGGATGCATGTTCATGGTGGATATACTGCTTGCTGCTGATGCCACTATTGAATTAAAGCTCGGAAGCGTGTCCATCTTATCTGCTGCAGGTCCTGATCGCTGTTGTGTAAGAACTGCTTGTGGAATGAATTGGGCTGGATCTGTAAAGCCAGCCATTGCTTGGAGATTGGTTGGAGTCATATGTGGTCTTGGAGAAACTATCTGGTTAAATGTTCCTCCTGGGAAATTAGGGAAAGCCGGCACAGACATTGTTTGGTGGTATTGAAGCTGTAAATGGGGCAGATCAAAAGCATTTGCCCTCTGTAATGTGATATTTCCCTGTGTGGGGTACATAGTGTTCCTCTGTCCACCAGATCCCATGGAGGCGTACTGCACGCCTGCTATCAGATTTGGGGTTCCATGGACCGCTGGATCCAAACTGGCTGACTGGGAGTTGTGAAATTCCATGTTGTCTACTTCCTCAGATCCAAAGGAGAAAGCAGAAGGTATATTTTCCATTCTAGGGCGCATCCATTTTAATCCTGAAAAAAAATAAAATTATGTCAATCATCAAAGTAATATATGAGCTAGAATTTACTTAGAAATAGACCGAAATAAACAAAAGGCCTTCTTATTTCAATGTTAAAATCAGAATTTGTCCAGGAGATGAAGTTCGTTCAAATGTTGTAATTTGACCAATGGCTATAGCATGACTACACTTTCAACCAGAGTTGACTACAAAGAAAGAATACACCTTATTTGAGTGGAAACTATACATCGTTACTCAATCCATTATTCATTCATTGTTTCAATTGTCTTTTCTATTTAACATGCACAACATGACAAACATCAAAAACATTTTGCAAATGACAAATAAACATTCGGGGTCTGCCACCATCTAAATGAGAATATCAAGGAAACAGGGATATTCTATTAATAATAAATGTATTCGGTGATGCACATTGTATGCATATTGTATTTGGTAATGTATGTTGTGAGAAGGATGCAAAATAGCTGCTTGCCCACTACCCCAAAGATAGCAATATTACACTCAGACTAAAATTTCTGAAATGTCCCTAACTTGCTACTGAAATGTTATCAGGGTATAATTTTATTCACAACCTTAAAATTAATTAAGAAGGGGTTCAGATTCTTTTAATCAATACGAAAACCAAAAATAAAATAAAACAGAATGGATATTCATAATGAATTGTTGTTGCAAGACGAGAGTTATCCTCTTTGAGCTTGTTTCAGTGTAACATTGTGTATAAGACAATTACTTGTATGCTAATATTTCTTTCTATATCTTTCTACATCTACAACAAAAATAAAGTTCAACAGTTAAGGAAAAAAGATAAATGATTGATATTAGATGTAAGAGTGAGTGAGTGAGTTTAGTTTTACGCTGCGTTTTGCAATATTCCAGCAATATCACGGCGGGGGACACCAGAAATGGGCTTCACACATTGTACCCGTGTGGGGAATCGAACCTGGGTCTTCGGCATGATGAGCGAGCTCTTTATCCACTAGTTGGGCTTTACGTCGGCATTATTCCAGCCATATAGTGACCAGATCAAGTCTGCATTCACAAACATTTCAAGTACAAAGACCAAAATTAGTTTTATGTCAAAAACATATAGATTCATTACATGATTATTAAAAAACAGAAAATGTTATAGCACCAAATTCGTTAGCACAAATCGTTATTCACATTACATAGTTACAATTTATGATACAGGTCAACTTCCCTCAGGTAGCTAACGATGACATGCCTGCTCATCCGGGAAAACAGATCTTTCAGATTTGTCGCATCATAATGTGAATCCTTGCAGATGAAAAGTCCGCACAGTCAAGCAGAATATGCTTGATGGTGAACACTCCATCGCAAGAGACACACATGGGAGGTCCATCCCCATCCGTTTTCAGCAGATAGTCAGGAGTAAACTGACTGTGGCCAATACGACGTTGTCATAACATTACCTCATCATGTCTTGACTGACAACCCAAATATACAACACTTAATGATATTTTGTAGAAACCTATTCATAAATGCTGCGCTGACAATATTCTGTTGCTGTAATATTGCTTAACAATGTAAACATGCTTAAAATTACTACAATAAAAAACACCCAATTCTGATTTGCAAAAATATCTTTACTATTCTTGGATTGCATAATAAGCTTAAGAACATGACATTAAAAGGAATGAGTGTTGTTCAGCTTGAAAAAAAAGAGAGAATAATTTGCAGTGTGCAATGTTTTCCAAATGTAGAGCTCATTTATGTTCAATTATGTAAACACAGTGCCAGACTGTCAATTTCTGCTTCTGACAAAAACTATTATATTTTCTCCTAAACAACATTATATACCCAAAGGGCATATTTGACATATGTAATAATTTATACGTAACAAATACAAAAATATTGTCTATATCTTTGAGATGTTGCTTATCACGTTCAATTTTTTTTAAAGAAAATATATCTAATCTTAAAACAAAACACAACGTGCCACGCCCCCTTCAGATCAATGAGAAAACATGGCGGATGGAAAGAAGAAACAATGCTAAAGGACGAATGGCTAGATTTTCACTTCTGTCAAACACGGATAAATCTCACGACATTGTGCAGCAAAAACGACTGGAAGTCTAAACAGTAACAAATCGCATGGGACGTTGTGAGGGGCGACTGCCTAGTATTATACGAGGTGGAAATCGAGACAGGGAAACGATGTGGCCTAGATATGCAATGGACAATATTCAAGGAAGAAAACATATTTTGCCACGTTCTGCACTACTAACGGAATAACAACCACTATTGTATCAATATTTACTTCACATACATCGGCACAAATATTTGAATTCTACATTTGACCAGAAAACTCACACCAAACGGCCGAGACTTACATTTTTACGATGGATAGACTGATGGTATTAGTCCTTCCTTCCATTTTAGCGGATGAATATACAAATAGCAACCTCGCGTAGGAAATAGTTACCTTTCTGCAAAGGCGTTGACATGTGTATAGTAAGTTTATTTGAACACTTATAATTGATTTCTTGTGTTTATATACACCTTACAATAAAGCAGTAATGCGACGCATGGTGAACTTCAAGAGAACTATATTTCTTCGAGTCGTTGCACAAGCGTGAGTAGGTCCGACACGCACCTGCTCGGTCAGAAACTGCTGCGATATTGAGAAGTGAGAAGTAGTGTTTCGCTGTCATTAGTCATGTCACAGTTATAACTGGTTACTGGTACTGTCGGCTGTGCTATTGTAGTGTCGCATGTCGATCGTGTACTGCATTTCATAGAACTGTATATTAGGATAAATTAAAGTCTGTGAGAAGGTGCACTGGAGCAGGGGCGAAGGAACAGGGGGCTTAGCCCCCCACTTTTTCAAGACGAAACCATATCTACCTTACCATAACTACAATTTCATTTTGATTTTCAATACTTTTCATAAATTAGCCCCCCCTCCTCTGAAAACCGTTCCTACGCCCCTGCTGGAGGGAATTTAAACGAATTGCATTTATAATCATGAAATGTGTAAAGATCATAAATTAGCAAATGATTTGTGTGAACTAGCTTTTTAATTATTAATTTCTGGCGTATGAGATAATCTTTGGTTAAAAGGGGATTATTTTGTATCAGAGCAATAATTTAATTTGGTTTTTTTTCATAATTTAAAATTCGCAATATTTTAATAATAATTCAAATTCATAATGACCAAAAAAAATAATTAATAGCAAAATTGAAATCAATTTTCTCAAAGATGCGGCACAAGGCATTTTTATATATAGAAACACTTTAGCAAATGTAATTTGAATGGAACATGAATATTTAAGTGGTAGGACTTGGCCCAAGTTTTTTTCCTGAGGTGAAATATAGCATCATAGGAAACATGTACATGAGGGTCGGAATAAGTTCATAAAATACAACCTGGGTACCTGACCCACTATTACCTGACCCTATCCTGGTACCTGTTGTAGGCTTCCCCAGTGACTTGTACTGTAACCATGGAGTTTTATTGTTAATGTCATTAAACAGTATCTCATGTGACAGTATATCATGTGACAGTATATCATATGAAAGGTGAGAATTTATGGATGTCAACTTCTTTATTATGAGGAACATGGAGTATAGTTCTTACTTCTTCTTCAGATAAATAATAACTAGGAAGTAGATAGCTCTATAAGTACATGTGAAACAACAGTGATAAGAAAACAATGGTGGGCACTTAACAAGGGGAGCCAGTACTTAATTGACGCTGATTGGTAATGACAATGACCCAATAGAAGCCAGGAATTGATCCAGGTGTAAATAGTCCTGTTAGGCAATTAAGCACTGATAAATAATGGACAAAAGGGTGTGGGGGATGGTAGAGGGGAGGGGTATAAAAACAATATGTCTACTACCCACTGGGGTTTAGTAGGGACACAGGTGGGAATGGAAGTCTTAGGTTATTATGGGAATGAGTGAGTTTAGTTTTATGCCGCACTCAGCAATATTCCAGCTATATGGCGGCGGTCTGTAAATATAGAAGTATATATAATCAAGTCTGGACCAGACAATCCAGTGATCAACAGCATGAGCATCGATCTGCTCATTTGGGAACCGATGACATGTGTCAACCAAGCCAGCAAGCCTGACCACCTGATTCCCTTAGTCGCCTCTTACGACAAACATGGGTTACTGAAGGCTCATTCTAACCCGGACCTTCACGGGTTATTATGGTGTGACTGACATACCATATACATGTATTTTTATGCAGACATGTTGTCGATCAATAAATATTTAGTCATTGATTCCACTGAAACACTCATAAATCTGGAGGAATGACAATATAACGTTTTGTTCAGATAAATTGGATTTAAACAGTGAAGAATATGAAAACTAACACATTGTCATTAAACTTTCAAAGTATACCATATTTACTGTATTAAGTACTCCACTCCAATAAACGCTCCCTGACACACTGCTAGACCAATTTGGATCTAATCAATGTACTTTTTATGAGTGCCCAGTACTAAAGCTTAACAAATGTGAAACAATCTTTATGTTTCTTTTGCATATTCTAGACTGGTTTGCTGTAAAAAGAGAATATTTACACAATAGTTTAGTTTCATGGATGTTTGAACTAAGTCTCTTCTCAAGCACTTGATCTCTGACCAACAAATATATCTTGTGTAAAATAGTAATAAATGCACACCCCTTCTCAATATTGTAAGCTCCCAAAGAATTTATTCTGATAAAATAGTATGTCCAAATTTGAAGAACCAGGAATTGGATCTTCAGCTTTGGGTTCATTAGGTTTACAGGATAACATGAAAGCCCCATTTGAATCAACTTGGGGTTTTTTCTTTGGAAAGTATAGGGAATACTTTGGAATCAATTGACAGAGTTTTTCTATTTTGGCAAAAAGCAGGTTCACTTCCCCAAACTCTTTCCTTACCATCACCCATACAAACAATTACAAAACTCAAACCATCAGCTAAAATGTTGGTTTTTTTGTCACAAAGACCAGGTTAAAACTCTTACATTCCTAAGGTACAAACATTTCTTTACTGGATATTTGAAGACTGTTTTTGGATGATCATACAAATGATGTTCCAGAAATATTGTCTGGCATGCGGAATACAAAATGAAATGTTTGTTTTTGTTTGTATTTACAAAACATCCAAAGCAAAATCTTTGATTTTTCACAGATAATGAGGGCTTCTCCTCTTAACCCTCTGGGATCTTAAAGCTATATATTTGCGTTATAATATCAACTAATGTATTCTCTTATTGTTATATGATAGAAATCAGGTCTGATATAAAAAATATTCAACATGGCCTTGATGGCAGCCATATTGAAAATTCCATGACCAGGCTTTCCTTTGTGTACAGTATCTTTGTAATCTTTGTATATGACAGTGGCTTGACAGTCTGATATAATGAGCAAATGATTCAAGTAGTTTGGGGACAACACAATTAACCAAGACACCATTTTTCACTAGTTATGGTTGCAAGTCTCCTCAGAACCCAAATATACTAACAAGCATAAAAGGACAGGAACATAAGTTAATATTATTCTTTTTTGTTTCTTTTTTATATGATTTAAAAAATATTTTACATGGTTTTGAATATGTTATGGCTTTTGTAATGATACTGTTTATGGTTGGTCTTCAATATTAGAAGAGGATGTAAAATCCTTACCCTACTTTAAAGGTAGATAACTCTTGAAACACTCAATGAGAACATTACCTTTCAGGTCCAAAATAGCCATGATAAAGACAGCTTTTTGCTATTTGGCTTCAACGCTTGGCCACCAGAATCTTTTGTAGCATGTCTTGAGTAAGAGATTCATGTCTATTGATGCACCATATCTTCGATCCATCTATTGTAAACCTTCATCATCTCAGAACGGTTACCCAACCATTTATGGAAAAGCAGTAAAACTGCACATTTTTTTTTGGTTTTCACTCTTTTGTTTCTATTTTATGTGGTGTTTGTTTAGTGATAAGTAGTAAATGTTTAAATGTGTAGAAGTTTGATTTGAAGTTCAGGTGAAGCTTTACTACAAAAGCATAACATTTCTGATAGGTTGTGAATCGGTGGATCGGTCGGGGGAAAAAAGAAGAAAAAAAACAAAATTAAGACAAAATTATCTGAATAAAGTTCTTCATTCTTATTTATTGTAATTATTATTACAATTTCTCGCATTCTTTTGACTTGTGGCAGCATCTGATTAAAAGATATTATATTTTATAACATTTCATATGACGAGACAGTACGTTTACGTTTTAGGTTCGAGTTGGCGGTGTTGGAATGAAAAAAAAAGGTTGGGGTTGTTTTGGGGTTTTTTTGGGGGGAGTCAGCAATAAAATGTAGAAGGGTCAGTCGGGCAATGAGAAACACAAAGAATAAAAATGCTGCCCTTACTATTTGTATAGGTAGCAGGTTTTCTGAGAAATACTTGTCAGCAAGAGAAATTCTGTCAGAAGTTACTCAAGAAAGACAGAGTGTGGCCTGTGTTACTAAACAAATAATGGCGCCAATTGAGTTCTTGGTGTCCATGAAAATAGAATGGAAATATATTACAATGATAACTGAGGACGACACTGTTTTTGACATCTTCCCAATCCTGTACAATATTTGTGTTCCTATCCTATGAGAAACCATTGCTCCATTTCACAGGGCTAGCCTCTGATAGATGAGCCTGTATGTAGCTAGTTTAAAGTAAAAATTCTAAAAGAAGTAAGAGTAGATGTGTTAGGCAAGGGTCAAAGTATTGAAAAAACATTTTGACATCTGCACGTTGAAAAACTACAGAAACTGGAGGCACTGGCCTCATTTCACGTCAGTTACGTCGCTGTAGATAGACTGGATCACGAACATCATGATTGCAATGAAGCCACAAGGCAGCCATATTAATAAGAACTTTGTGAAACTGAAAAAATTGTCTTGGCAAATACTGCCTAGACCTTGCCATATTGAATTTTTCATGTCGTTTTTTTTTTAAAAAGAAGTCAAAGAGTGAAGGATGATTCTTTCACAATTATGTTTGTGGCTTTAGGAATTCCTTGGGTATTTAGACAGTTACCAGAGTTTGTTTCTGTGAAAAGCATGGCATATTGACTAAATACATAATGGCAGCTTTTGTGCCAAACAGCACATTAATTAGTGAGTTGGTGAATGTTCAGGGCTTTTGTTTGTATTCTGAAGTAGGTTCTTGCCAAATTGTTTCAATAATATTAGAATGAGTGAGTGAGTGAGTGAGTTGGGTTTTACGCTGCTTTTATCACGGCGGGGGAACACCAGAAATGGGCTTCACATTTTGTACCCAAATATTAGAATGTAGTTAAGTTAATGAAGTAAAGTTACATATGTTATATTTGGGATTACACTTCTTAGTAAAGTACAAATTCTAGTACTATTTTGAGTTGAGTCCCATCCGGGACAA